TGCTGCACATAGCCTTGGAGTGAAGAAACTCATTTGCACCAATTAGTGCATTTACACTTTTAATATCTGTTATGTAAAATGAAACTTGCGACCATCCTTAAGAATTAAGCTCGTCCTAGAATTAAATGTTTACTCCAAGTTCTAGGATTCTCATTTTTCGAATCATGATAAGCCCAATGAGAAAAAAAAAAAAAAAATTAAAAAAATACAGAAGATCGTACAGATGTTAGTGACATTTTCTTGACTTCATGCTGTTAGAGTAACTGCATGATACGACTCTTACTTAACTCTCTCAGTTGCGTTAGTAATGCCATTATTTTTTTAAAAAAAAAAAAAACATTTTATTCCCATTTCTTTTATTTGCAAAAACTTCCGGTTGAAAAAAATGCAGTATGAATCATAGTAAAAGAATATTTGTTTTGGTTTAAAAATTAAAAATATTTTAAAAAAGTGTATGATGTATCATTTGAAGTTACAGATTTTTAGCGTTAAAATTAAACAAAAAATTGCAATAGTGATAATGAAAAGTTATTTGTTAAAACTTCCGGTTGAAAAAAAATAACAATATGAATCGTAGTCAGGGAAAATTAGTTTGGGTTCAAAAATTAAAAATATTTTCAAAAAGTGTCTGAAGTATCATTTGAAGTTACAGATTTTTAGCATCAAAATTTTTAAAAAAAAAACTGTAATATTGATAATAAAAATAGATAATAAAATAGATAAATAAAATAGATAGATAAAATAGATGATAACTGATCATGCAATTCCACATTCCTTTATTTTTTTTAGTCATAAAGTTTTGAATTTGTAAAGTAACTTAAGTCGATTGTTAGTATTAATTAGAAGCTTTCACGAAGAAAAAAAATATTAAATCCTTAAAAGAATGAATTTTATAGTGCTGTAAATATCGACTTTTCTTTTTTTTTTTCAATTTTCTTCATTATTTATTTTATTAATTTATTTATTATTTGAATATCACAGTGCAAGAAAATATAACATGACATGATAAAAGATTTGTATCATAATTACGTGAAATTTAAATCACTATTACATAAAATTAAAATTTCTAAAACAGTACTTTCAAATTTTATGGGACGTCAAACTAAAATACCTCCTAATTTCATACAAAACTTTTTTTAAAAAAATAAATAAAATAGGTTTTGAACTCAAAGTTAATAAAAATAAAAATACAGAGTTACTTATTAGGTATAGGTTGAATTCGCAAAATTTACAAGGTCACTTTTACAGCAACGAAGGTTACTTTTACAGAAGGTTTACCACAAGGTTACTTTAAAAAAATTTTTAAATATTAACAAATGTGTAAGATCTAGAAAATATCTAATGTAAAGGGTAGTTTCAAGAGAGTGCCAAAACATACTAAATACCTGAAGTCTAATTGTTATAATCTTAAACAAAAATATAAAATATTTATGCTTTTTTTTCATTTTTTTTCCAAGTTTCTTTCATTTGAATTTCAATTACCAACACAAAATTGTCTTCTTGTGCCCCATAATTTTTTTAAGGCCGTCTTTCAGCCAGCCAACTTCATTTGATTTACGTTGCCGCTGCTTGTTACAGGCCCTTGTTCCAAGAGAAAAATGCTCATCTGTAGCTGATTTATCTCCATTAGCAGCAAAAGGATAAAATTTCACAATAAGAAGCGTGGTTTCTTAATCTAATGCTTTTTTTTTCTGCTATTTAATGCTTTTTTTAATGCTTTTTTTAATGCTTATTTTTAATGCTATTTAATGCTTTTTTTTCTTCTTTTTTTGCGCTTTTCTTTAATTTTTATACATTCTATGAGAAAAAAATTTTTCGGGTGGCCGTGAAAGTATCTCCAAATTAAAAATGATACAACGTAAGTGATGTTTAATTTATAATAATTTTTTTTTCATTTTATTTTAAACCGACGCTGAATGGAAGATTTACTTCGGAGCATCATATTAACAACAATGTTTAACTTCGTTGCTAAGTAAATTTTAAACCAATTCAGAAGAAAAATGAACTTCTGGATCAAATATTGGGACAAACTATCCCTCGTGGATGACTTTTTGATGTAACTAGAATCTACGTAACATGGAAAACCATGAATACCTCCCGCAGTTAACCCAACAGCAAGGGAATTTTATCCCAGGAACCAATAAGGATATTTTCGTCAGTACTGTGGTCGAAGCGAGCCGGGAATATAATTCGTATCAAGTAGCCATCATTGGGATTTAAACCTGAATCACATCATTGTGATATGCCACCGCGTCTCATGCTAAATCAGTTGAGGTAATAGGTACTAGTGATATTGTGGTAATAAGTACTACAGTGGTAATTGGTTATAACAGAGTAATGTAAAATAATACGGAAATAAATATAAATCAAAAATTTCACACGGGTATACATTTTGAGAGTTTTAAAGTTTTATTTTTTAAAAAAAGTATCACCATTCATAAAGGTTAGACTTAAAAGCATCTGGATCCAATAAGCGAGCGAATTCAGATTGTTTTTAGTAACTATTAGACTGTTTTTTACAATTAAAAAAATACCGAAGTATATTTTTACTTGTAATTAGAGACACAGAAAAAAATATCAATATATATAAAAAGGACCCCGATCTGAGTCAAAGTGTTAAAGTTGTTACAAAAAGTAGTATAGATCCAAAGTATAGCAACCAGCCAATCACACATCCTAGTTAACTAAAGTTTTGACGTCACCCTTCTTTACGTCACGAGAACTTTTACTCTTTTGTATATAAATGTCAGAGAATATCATTGTTTTCAATAGCACAAAAGTTTTCAAATATTTGCTTTCATAGCTTTGGACAATAAGAACGAAAGGGAAACTTAAAGATGAAAAATATACAATATATTTTCCTTCTCGCAAAAGTAATTCATGTATATATTTAATGCTCAGTTAGTTTGGGAATCTAAGGTTTAATTTCTATAAATTAAATTCAAATTAAATAAATAAGTTCATACTCGTGAATAATGCATACACTGATATAGGCAGTAACAGCTTTAATAGACAGTAAAGCCATAGAAAAACTTAAAGAAAGAAAACACTGTTACCTATAACCTTTAAAATAAAAAAAAATTTCTTCAAAAAAGTGAAGTTTATCTTTTAAAGAATTCGATGATATGTATTTTTGCAAGAAAAAGTGGACAATGAAAGATTCGAACTCAAAAAAGCGAACACTTTAATATTAGCAAATAAATAATTCATTCAAAACATGTTTCATAATCGTAAAAACTATAACTTTCTTAATTTATGCCATTTTATTAAGAATAAGTTTGTATGATATTAATGTAGTTTTCGTTGTACATATTTTTTAAATACAAACCAGAATTTTCAATAAATTAACCGGAAACATTTAAGCTTTTAAACCATTTTCCTTAATTGTGTTAAAAATTCCTATATACAGCAAAAACTATATTAATATTATACAAGCTAATAAATTTATGAGCTATTTGAATGAAAATTTAAGAAGTTACAGACAGTGGCCTACCATACCAGGATTTCTACCTAATCGACATGCCCATATTTAGTGTCAAAAAATTTCGCCCAACAAGCATTTTAAACATTATAAGAAACATGTGAAATGCCAATAAAAAAAATGATTGAGCATTATATATATTTTATTTTTTTCTTTAACTTATTTTATTATCGACTTTCACTTCTCTTATAATTTTTTCACAAATTTAAAAAAAAAAAAATATTTATTTTAATAACCATTTAACATAATATAGATTTTAAACCAAGAGCAATATAAAAACCATCACCTCATTCACTTTATAATTTATTATTCATTCACCTATTCATAAAGTAGTGCCTTGTAAGTAAAAAATAAATAAATAAATTGAGTGCTTAATTTTAGAAACGTTTTTTTATTTTTGTGGATTTTTTTTTAACTCACATTGATACTGGTTGATTTAAAATTTATTACTCATAAATCATTACGTTTTGTTTTATGTATTGCGAAGTATATTTATACATTTTACTAAACTTCCCGAAAGCTGAAGTAATTTGCTTTAAATTTCAAGTTTTATAACCATTGTGAAAATACAACAACAACAAAAATCGTGACTGCCCATTTGACATCAAAGCTCGGTAATAGAAAGTAATTTTAACAATAAATTCAAATACATCGTAAACAAGTAGGTCATAAATCAGGCAAAAATCCAAAAGAATAACTCTAACTAACGAAAATAAATCAAAATAACAAATCAATACGTTTACTCTCTGCGTCTTAGCAAGCGAATGAATTCCTAGACGAATTCTTCTGGGGATTATTAAGAAAAACAATGTTCATCTGTAGCAATATTTTCACAGCTGCAGCTATTACCTATGGAAATACACTGTACAAAATTCCGAATTAAATTTCGGTAAAAAAAATACTGACACCCTGGGTGCAGCATGCATAAGATCCATTTCACCGTAAAATTTTATACCGCAATTATTTACTTAAGTAATTATGGTGTAAAATTTTTGTTTTGTAAAAATTTACGGTAAAAACGGATTGTATGGTAAAAAAGTACCGGCATCCTAAATGCCGGTACTTTTTACCGTAATTTGGTCAGGAAATTTTTAGAGCGTATATATGTACATAAATGGAACACCAGTATCATTCTAATAAACACAGCCACAAGTAAAGACAAGTAACAAAATTATTGAATATGAAACACGTGATCACTTTTCAATTCATGATTTATTGTTGTTTTCAATGTTATAAAAGCATTCCTTCATAAATTTCTAAAATAATAAAATATTTAAACCAACAGCACATAAACTTTCGGATCCTTTTTTTTTTAAACGTGATTATGCCTGAATCGTGACGTTCTGCATCTCAGTAGGAACATTTACTAACATAACGCAGGAAATGGGCCTTATTGTTAATCGATGTTCCAATAAATGACTGAAACGTTCTCTAAGCTTTAGCTTTTAAATATGTTATATTTTGAACATTTTTTCTTTTCATAATTTGTAATATTTCTATTAATTTTTTTTCCACTTACTCGCTGTAATTGTCTGTTTGCTTCTGGGGCCAATCACTTGGCTTTTTCATTTCCTCCAAATTGATTCTAAAAATAAATTTCAATTAATCAAGCAAAACAAAATAATGTTTGAACAAAATAATTTATTAAACTCATATTATATAAGTTATATTACACTAAATTTATTTTTATATGATTAGATATTTTCTGTTTTAAAGAGTCAAACCTTTGATGAACCAGTTTAAAAAATTTAATATTCTAATGCACAAAAATCTCATATAGTACGACATTCAATCAATAAGGTATAATCCCTTTTCATTTACTAAGTACTATTTTGAATAAGTTAATTTCTCGTTAGATAAAAATTCAAAAATAGGGTTCATATCATAAATTTAAAGGAGTTATAAATCTTTTTTTTTTCTTTACCAATGTTCTTCAATGTTATGCATTTAAAATTAAAAAGTGCGAAAATATTACCGTTATTTGCTCCTGCAAAATTATATACACTTTATGGATATAAAAAACATACCACAGATGAATTGGATTAAAAAAATTAGAAACACCAATCTCTAAAGCATTATCTCTCTTTGCTAAGTGCTTTTTAAGATAAATTACTTGGAAACTAAATTTTTCTTAAGTAGGTTAATATATTTTTCTCTTACAACATTAGTGCAATTATTCTCTAGCAATAAAGTAGTAAATTAATTTTTCCTGAACAACATTTGCTATATTAAAATAGAGGTAATCGATAAAATGCATTTGATTAGAAGGATTTTATTTTATGTTTTTATTAAGATAGAATAAACCCCGTTGAGATATTAATTTACACAAGCAATTTATATATATTTTGCGCATAGTTTGGAAGTTAATTTCAACCCACGTTTCGTAAAAGATGTCTTAGTTTTTAGTTACTTTCATAAGCACACATATAATTACGTAAAGCACACATATATTTTCGTAATCAGTACAAAATCTTAGAGAAAGTAAAAATTACGAATTACGTAAAAAAAACATTTCTCGCTTGGAGATATTGAAAATCGTTTTACTTGCTATATAACATAACATAATTCAAGAATATTCTGATCGGTTGTTATGTGTAGAGGTTAAAATTTACAGAATTATTGAATGCCATTTAATGATTTTTAAGGGGCTGTAGCGATCGGGCTCCTGAGATTCGTAGCCTTTTAACATAGTATTTTTAAATATCGTCATGAAACATATTTCTAAATACCTGTTTTAGACAATTTTTTTTTTTTGCTCTAAAACATAGCATACGAAAAAGCTTAAACTAATTGTATGTAAATTCTTGCAAAACAATTATGACATATTTTACTGAAACAAATTGTAAGAACCTAACCATATCTTTCACATTCAGAAAGAGTGAGGCAATATAATTTTTTCATTTTGTTTGAAAGAATTTCCATAGTTACGGCTATGAAGCAGAGTAGCCAACATCTGTTATTTCTTGAACAATACTTACTTGTAAAATTCAAGTATATTTTCATTGTGATATTTTTCTTCCAAGTCGATTATATCTCTTGGTTAATAAAAAGGCTAAATTATAGAATAATCTTTTTTCAAAAATAAATTTATAATAATATTAAGTTAAATATATTTAAAAAACTATTTATAAAATTCCACGTCAGATAATTACCAGCACTCTTAGAATGTAGAAATGATGTAAGGAAAGCAAACGATTTTTTTAAAGACGGGGCAAAAAACGACTGCATTAAATTATTGCTTTTAAGTTAATTTATGGTAATTAATTAAAAACTTATTCATAACACTTTAGGTGAAATTGTTTTAAGTTAACTAAGTTTTTTTAAATTGTTATTAAATTTTTTTTTCCTTCAAAAAAATTATTTTTAATAAGAAAACTTAAGATACGATTTCCAAAAGAATAAATAACTCAATATAAGCTTTCAAATATTGCAGAATTTAATATCAATATCGTTGTTACCAAAATGTTACTTGTTCTGATTAAAACGAATGAGAAAAAGTAAACAAAGTGAAATGAGAAGAACACAACTTTTAAAGCAAACGATACTAAAAACATTGATTCCAGAATCATTGTTTTTGAATAACATTTTATAAACAAGTATCTGAAACAAGTAATACTGTAAAAAGCAATAAAAAAAGAAAGAAAAACTTACCAATTATTACAGTTAAAAAATTTAAAAATTATTAAATTATAGGAATTGAATGCAATTAGAAGTGGTAATGCAATTAGAAAAAAACAATCACATTTTGCTTATGGGAAAATGCAACAGCAATGATTAACAATTTAGAGTAATTGTTTTGTATTTATAAAGAAACTACTAAAAGTGAAATGTAAAGTTATGCAGAATACGTAAACCTAAGCATTTTTTAAAATCTGAGATAAGTAAATGTTTATCTTCAATTAGTCGATTCATCAATTAAAAGTCAATTAGGTACAGCATTTATTTAATATTTAGTCCACGTGATGAGTTTGCCACTTGCAACAAAACGCATTCTAAACGGGACCCAATCTTTCTAATCATATCATATTTTTAAAAATTCTAATTTTTATGCATATGTTGAGTTTAAATTTTTTCCAAAATAATACTTTTATCAAGAAAAACATTAATCTACATCCCGTTAGAATAATGTAGTTCTGTCTAAACACCTCTATATTTTTAATCCAAAAATATTTAACAGCCTTGTGACTTAAAGTCACGTTGCGAAAGGATAGCAGTATTTTTATTATCTGTAAGCATCATGCATCCAGGCAGAATTAGCTAAGAGCTGCACGCATTAAAAAGAAGGTCGAGTGGGGGAGGGGTGGAGCGGAAAAAGCAGCGAACATATTGAAGTTTATTAATCATCATTTTTGTCAGTGTATTCTATTCTATAGACAGATACATTTAGTTTCATTTAAATATATCATTCACGAAATATTGAAACTTTATTTTTAAAAAAAATACCTCTTTACTTAACAAAAATCATAAATATAGTTATTAACTATAAACTTAAAAAAAATTATATATTAGATTATAAAGTTCATAAAAATCGAATAGATGATGCATGTTCAGTCATGAACTTCATGATAAATGTAGAATATTTTGCATGTAAGAAATTACATTATTAGGTTTTTTCTGAAAGAGCAATATTCTAATTATACTTAGATTTTAGGATAATAATCAGCTAAAATGTAGATAAAATAGGTTATTTTGCATTCACTATGAATTTCTGAAATAGTATTGTATAAAAGCTACCTTTTGATATTACTTAAAAGGGTTCAGATTTTAATCGCTACAACAATGGATTATTGATTATGATATCTTATTTGCAATTTTGAACCACGGTTTATAGAATTATTTTCGCATAAAAATCATACAGATGATGTACAATCACATACTTAAGCATAAATGGAAAATACTTTATACGCAATAAAATACAAAATCTGATTTTCTGGAGAAAAATAAAATAAAATTAGAATATTTTTTGGATTTGAATAATAATAATGAACTAAAATATGGACAAAATAAGTTGTTTTGAATTTAAATAATAATAATTAACTAAAATAAGGACAAAACAAGTTTTTATTTAATTTTACTATGAGTTTCTGAAATAGTATAGAAAAGATTTGAAATAAAAAAGCTTCTTTTTCAAAGAACAATTAATTTAAAAAAATTTTTTTTGATTTTAATCTTTAATTCAATGATTATCTATTAAAATTTATCTCTGATTCCTAAACAACTATCTATAGAATTGTTTTCGCATAAAAATATTATAGATGATGTACAATCACAAACTTCAGGATAGATGTACAATATTTTATAAATTAGAAATTACATTACATGGTTTGCCTGAAAAAATACAGAATTCTAATGTTTTTAGACTTTATGAGAATAATCAACAAAATGTGGATAAAATAAATTATCTTAAATTTACTATGAGTTTCTGAAGTAATATTTCATCGAAATTACTTTTATTACATAACAATTAATATAAGCAAATATGGTTTAAATTCTGATCACTAAAACAATGTCTATATATTATGACATCTTATCTGTGGTTCCTAAATCACTATTTATAGAATTTTTTCCACTTATTCTTAATTTCTACTCTCAGAAAAAATCGGTTAAATATTCGACCATAATGTGTTACCAATGTGAACCTTTTAACCATCAACGGTGCAAATTTGTTATAACTTAATGTGCTGCTTCATACAAATTGAATCATAAAGTGCATTGAAATTTAAGAAATACGATCATTGCATTGTATTAGGGAAACAAATTTGAATGATTTTATGGTTCATAATGCTCCCAAATATTTTACAGTATACCTTAGCACATCGTGAATCAATTTTTTTCATCCTCTAGTGAGAAGCTTTACAATTTTTAATTTAAAAAATTTACGCATACAATTGATTTTTTAATTATTTTCAGAAATTAACAATTCGTTATACTCATAAAAAATTAAGTCAGAAATATATTCTTTAATTTAAAAAAATACATTGTTCTAAAAAAGAAACTGAATGTTTCAGTTACAAGAATCAATAATTTTAATAATTATTTCTTTAAAAAGAAAAAAAAAAGTAGGGCTCTCTTTGTGCTGGCATAAAACCAAGTAGAAACAACGTGATAAACATAAATAAACAAGTTCGAGAAATAGACTATCTATTTGGAATTTTGAGAAAGATCCATCATCAGTGCCAGTATACAAAATGAAGAATAATTCTGCGTCTAGCCAAAGATGACGGCATTTGTTGAAATAATTCCAAGGACTACCAACAATCGTCTGTCTCTTGATTTTGTTTAATTTGGCCTACTACGTATCCTTTTCTACATTGTTTTAATGGGATACCTGCAAGTGATGTAGTGTGGGGGGGGATCCTGATTGGTTGTTAAAACGTGGCATTTATTTACGTTAGCAACTGTTCTTTCCGTTGTATTTCGAATAGGCCAAGCCCGTCAAGTATCAATTCTCTCAAGTGACACTTTCTAAATTCTTTCACAAAGATTCTTTCTTAAAGATTTCAATTATTTCACTGTGAATTTATACACAGACGTAACACAAAGACAGTATAAGTAAAGACAGACATAAGTAAATAATTTATCTAGGTTAAGCAAAAGAAGTAGATGAGAAAAATTAAATTTCAACTTATTCTAAATTATCGTTAATTAACATTCTAAACTTATGTAGAGAAACTTGGCTCAACTTTAATGCGCCTTTTTGCTGATAAAGATTAGCTGGCCCTGACGTCATAGGTCACATGTTTGGGTATGGAAGGACTTCTTCTTGACGAGCAAGTACCCAATTATATATTTTATTTACTAATAAAAATGTCATTGAATAAATTCATAGAAATTATTGTTGTTATAGTTCATATTTCAAAATTAATACGAAAATCCTTTCCGGATAAATTTTGATAAATTCATGTCTCGACAGTGATAACGGCACTTGTTGTTAGTGTTGAAACAATCGTTTGTCTTGCAAACTTGCTTATTTATATATACCGAGTCTCCTTTTTTACAACTATATCGTTTATTAATTAATAAACTGTTAATAAGCGGCATTCATATCTGAAATAATTTTATTAACTATGAACTCGATTAAAAGTGTCATGTTTTGAGAAAGATTATATTGGAAAACCCTAGCAAGTTCATGAATCATATACCAAAAGTGTAAATTGTGTTCTCATTAAGATATTCTGGACAATTTTGTTAGGATCTTAGCCTTTTATGCACGAATTCCCTATTGACCAACAGTGAAAAGAATTTTTTTGTGAGAAATTCGATGTTGTTCGAGCTAATTGTTACCAATTAGTTCGGTTCGAAGTTCAGAAAAGCTTGAAGCCTAACAACAAAATATGAACAGTCAACGATATTTCTTTTTTTTTCAAATTTAAATTTTATTCACTACTTTTAACTCACTTTTCATAAAATGAGTAATTTATGATAATTAATAAATTCATGATAATTAATAATAAATTTATGAAGTTTTAAAATTATTAGAGTTTAAAATTTTAAAGTTTTTATAAAATAAAGAAGAAAAAAAAACCATTTTTAAAATAGTAATACAACATAAATAATTTATTAATTTGTATTGCATCGGCATGTTACTTCAACGAGTACAATCATTAAAATAATAATTTTAAAACTTACCCATTAATAAGACAAGAATACAGCTCCATCGTTTGATATAATATAGGTAATGAAGTTTCAGAGGCTTCTCTTGACAAGAGCTGCACAGTTAGTTTAACTGCCATTTTTCGTTCCCCATGGTTTTATTCGACGGCAAGTCGGATCACGCGTCCAATCCTAGCAACTCAAATTCACTCATCGAGGATATAAGTGGCTTCGTTAAACTTGGAGGTCTCGGTAATTCCAGCGAATCTCGCACGCTTTAAGAAAGCCAGTTAGTTGTATGGTCATCGGTTGTATCAATTAGGAAGACTCTAGGTTCAATCAAATGAAAGGAAAATTTCACAGTCGTCGGAATTTGATGCTTGGTAAAACGACACGCTCACCTACTTGGGGCGTTGGAATATAGGTGTCACATTCTTCTATGAGTATTCTTTTCTCTGAAAGCCAATTTAGACATCTTTCTCAACGTGCGAACATCAGGAGAAAAAAAAAGAAGAAAGATTTAATTTTGAAGAACGTTTTAAAGGAAAGACTATTCCCAATACCATAGACAGTTTAAATTATGGCAAATTTATATAAATAAAAAGTTTCTTTTAAGGTACACTGCCTTTTTTAAAATTGCTTTATTTAAAACGGAGTATTCACAAAATTGTCCATTTCACATGAAACAAAAAGTAAAAATTGATTAATACCTTAAGAACCTGATAAATTATAAATGTGTATACATATTTCAAATATGTATGCATATTTTACGATACAAGTCTAACTTTACTTATGGATTTAAGACATGCGGATCAAAGCTAATCTCAAGTTTAATTTAGTCTTTTATTTTTTCTCTCCACATAGTTGGTACTTGAGATCATTCTATCCGGTCAAGTGTAATTTTCCACACACATCCCTTGTTTAAACAAGAAAGGTTCCTATTTTTAATAGTCATCTACCTCTAGGATCTCCTTTTTCTTTGCTCTCTTCTGTATCTCATCTCTTTTTTTCTTCTTCTTTATTTTGCATTGTGATAACTCTTGTAAAGTCTGCTGTAGCCACTCTTAAAATGCTCTCTCTAACTAAAACCATTTGAATTTTTTTTTTTTTTTTGTGTTCAATTTGTTTATATGGTTCAGAATTTAACATTTGTTTTATTCTTATTTGGTTTGACCTTCCTCTGTGATTCACTACTTCTATACGTAATAGTCGCAAATTTGACTGCTGCCTTGGACAGTAATAGTTAAAAGTTAGCTTCCTGCCAATCTCCATTTTTTTTTCTCTCTAGTTTACTAAGAGGATGCTGTACTTTTATTTATTATTTCATTCTTGTTGTGACGTAATAGGTATCGAAACAAAAATAAAAACGAGAAGTGGTGTTTAAAATTCATAGTTACCAACCTTTTGGTTTTATCCTAGTGGCATGCAATGCAAATTTCATACATCAATATTTATTCCTCAATTTAAAAAATGTGCCATAAAAAGATTTTTGACCTTCACAACATACAACACGCAAACTTAAAACACATACGAAGATTTGATCGTAACACTTTTATTGTACTAAGTGCTAGAAAATGAAAAACTTTTATCTTTCACTTTAATTACTATAGAAAAATACTCTGATTTAATCGGAGTACTTGGTAGGAATGAAACTAAAACAACAGGTGACCGCCTGTACCTTAAGAGAATTAGTTTTTAGTTACCACAGTAGTCAAGAACAGCCTCTAACAGCTGTATATTAGCTTTTCATTCAACTTTTCTTTCGCTTTTACTCTGTATTTTTGTCGGTCCTTGATTTGGAACGCTGTCTTGAATTTCTTACGACTTCAGAACCATTTCCGCTCGGGTCCTGAATTATGTACAACGACTTCAAGGAGGAATTTTAGCCAGCGATCCTAAAAATTTCAATTAATCGGTTTATGACAAATGTTTGAAAGCATTGATTAAGCATTACAGATTGCTATAGATTTAACAGCAGACGAATCTATTAAGAAGTTTATTATGTTCTTTAATATTAAAATATCTTTTTATTAGCTCAGTGATCAATGGGCTACGTCACCGAATTAGTATTCCTAAAGTTATCTAAAACCACGCGTTTATTTTGTTAATAGTTGTGATTTTCAAACGCGTTTTTATAAAATTAAATAATTTAAAATCAACGGTCATTGTAATAAAGACAATATTATATTACTAAAAAGCAAAGTTAATGGAAAAAAGGTTGAGATTTGTTAAGGGAAAACGTAAAAAAAGCACCATACTATTTTTGATACCAATGATGCTTAGTTAATTTCGGAATTAGTGATTGGTGTTGTTTTAGCAAGTACCGAATATACTAATAGGCACTGTAGAAATTGTTTTTTTTTTTTTTTTTTTTTGCTGTGCACCGAAGAGCATAAAACCACCGAAGGGAGTGGAAAATTTTGACTACCATGAGTTGACCTCCGAACAACAGCATCGTGCCGAATGGAGTTCAAATGAGTCTGATTGCACTCAATCTTTATGTTGAAGAGATTAACTTCTGAAGAAAAAAACATTGTTTTGCTTAACTTTTAGTGTAAAGCCACAGCGAAAGGCAATAAATAAAAAAAATATTTTAGCTTTTATTAATTTTGTCGATGTATGTCTTTCAGTTTTGTGTATAAAATTTTATAGTGCTGATCAGAGCTGCGGAGTCGGTAGTTAGAATGTCCGAATCTAACTACAGCCTTACTCGAGAGCTCGCCGCATCTTATATTCAAATAATATAAAATTTCCACCGATTCCCAGTTAAGTATTTATCGTTACGATATCATCTTTTATAATTTTTTTTGTAAAGTTACTTAATTAATATCTAAAGTGATAATAAAATACTAAAAAACCTCTATCTTCAGTTATCTTCTCCATCTACTAATAACAGTGTAGATAATTGGATTTATATATAAGTTTTTCTCTCAATAGTTAAACGCATCTGACCTTAAATCGAGGCTTACTATCAGTACCAAATTTACAACGATGAGAAAATAAATAATAATAATAATAAATAAATAAAGAGCAAATTTTTTAGAAATTTAACGAATCGTAAGACGAAAAACTATGAAATAAAATCATTTAAAAAAAATAACTTTCTATGATTCTGCACGAAAAAGTAAGAAATGAAATATTGCTTGTAACTTATAAGAATCGAATTGGTATAGTCTCAGTTAATTTTCCAAGTATTACGTTCATTTTAATATAAAGTTTATCCAGGGACGCTGCAAACTTATATTTTAAGGAGGATTCTCATTTTGCCGAATGAATTTCCACATATGACCGAATCATAAATAAACGATGCAATTATTTTTACGTATAAGAAAAAAGCATTACGAAGTAAATTATTAAATAACGTTTCTGCCAACTTTTTCTTTTTCACCCGGTTTTTCACAGTGTCTCAAGGGATAGAGCTCTCGCCTCCCTATGAGGTGACCCAGGTTCGAATCCCAGCGATGGCTGGTTGATATGAATTCTGCACCCGGCTTGCACCGACTACAGTGCTGACGTAAAATATCCCCGTAGGTAGTCAGTACATGGGTTTAGAATCCCATTGCTGTCGGGCTCTAACCGTATAAAGTTTTCCTTTCCATGTAATCGCATAGTTTCTCCCAATGCTTTATCCACTAGTTTCCTTGTCTTTTTTTGTTGGGTTCAAAACTAAAAGCCTACGGAGTTGAACCAACACCTCCTAGAAAGAACAGGCCTCAGCACGGGTTACCATAAATATCCCTTAGTAGTCCAAACGTAATGACATATTTTGTATTTTCAACCACTGCGCAGCTTAGTACCCCTAACGTAATGACATCGTTCTTATTTTTCGTCAACTGCGCAGTTAACTTCGTCACATCGGACTACTAAATTGATCCGTGCTGAGGCCTTCCTTCTTCTAGGAGGTGTTGGTTGAACAGTGACACTTGTAAACTCAGAACTGCGCCGGCTGCTCAACGCCGGTTATAAAATGAAATATATCAAACGAAAGATTTTATTTTTATGCTTAAAGTTGTAGCAAGATTTATATTTTGATATTTTATTTAATAAATCTGATAAAAAATGTTCTTGATATCAGATTTAAGAGATAAGCCTAACTTACATGCATATGAGTTAAAATATAGAAAAAACATGGAAAATAATATAATAAAGATTAATGAAAAGAGAAGAAAAAAAATTAAAATAAAACAATTTTAAAAATATTTATATAAAAAAAATAACTATAAAGCTGGAAAACAAAATAGTGAAAAGATATAATCTCGTCATCAGCTTACACCAGGGATGGGCAAACTACGGCCCGCGGGCCAACTGTGGCCCGCCGGAAGGTTTTATCCAGCCCGCGGATATAATTTTAATTTGCCGATCAGTGGCAATATACATAAACAATATACATCCATTTTCTTGTCAACTATTTAAAATTATTTCTGTTTTTCCTTTTTTAGCAAAGTACTGATAGACTTTTTACTTTCTCTATTTTTGTTCTACAAAACATAAATTGATGGAAATAGTTAGCACAGACAGCTTCAATTGGTAAAATGTTGAAAGCAGAAGTTCTTCATAGAATAGTCTTTAGATTGGCTCTAACTAGAGTTTGTCTTTCTCGAGGAATCTAATATAGGTAAATTGTACTTCACATTTGGCAGACTACGCATTTTAAGATCCAACGAGCGGACAATCTAACAATCATCTGAAGCAGTTGTTTCTAAATATGCCAAAGTTTTACAAATCATTACCAAAAGCTAGTTTCCAAAATTTAATATTTCATGCCCAGAAAATCAGCTCTGTGTTTGCTTAATTTTATATATGTGAACAAGAGTTTTCAACTTTGAACCTTAGAAAGAATCATTTCAGAAGTGGACTAACAGAAAAGTAAAATAGGCACATCTCGCTTCGAACCTTAATATAAGGAACTTTTAAAAACGAAATCGCAATTTCATTCATCTCACTAAATATTTAAATTAAAACTTGTATATCGCTTTTTTTTTTAAATTTTGAAAGTTTTATTTGTCCCACCAAACATTTTTTTTCTCGATTTTTGGCCCTCGACCAAAAAAGTTTGCTCATCCCTGGCTTACACGATTATATCCACAAAAAGTAGTGCTTTCTAAAATTGTATTAATATAGCCAAAGAAAAATAATATCAATACAATAGTATGAG